ATTGACACTTAAGACTGGTTTTGTGGTCCAGGGTCACATATGTTCCACAAAAGAAATATAGTCATACATGTTTGGAATGACATGAGGATGAGTAAATAATGACAGAATTTTAATTTTTGTGTTAACTATCCCTATCCCTGAACTAAGGTGCACTCATTAAGTTTTTGTTTACATTTCGCTTACACTATGGAAATCCATTTTCATCTAAAATAGTTATTTGTGGTTGTAATTTAGACATATACAGTCACACTGTGAGATATAAAATTACATTAAAAATAAATAAAGTCTAAAATGTACAATAAACTTGGCACTGAAAAAAACTGAATCTGGACCATTTTAAACATTCTTTAGAATAATGTTTAATAATGTTTCTGTGTCTATTTAAAAAAATATTTTAACAGTTTCTTGTGTCTAAATTTAAATGCGGATGTGTAAAGCCTTAAGTAGGGAAAAATTACTGAGTGCACTTTTATAAAAATAACACTAAAATCAGGTAAAATCCTTACCTGGTAAGGAGAGGTTGAGCTGGATGCTCTGATCTCCATCCTGTTTGTCCCAGTCCACAATCATCCAGTTCTCCAGTCCATCCGAGTCTGAATCCAGATCCTCGGGTACAGGTACAGCAGGTACAGATTCAGAAGAGCTGTCGTCTGAATCAGAATCCAACACCACAATATCATCTGGGGAGCTCTTTCCTGCTTGAACTTGTGGTAGACAGGCTGAAAGTAACTTGCTGTTCCAGCGTTTGGATGATTGACCTTTCTTAGCACAGACGCTGTCATCTTCCTCTGTGTTGTCTGACACTGTGGTAGCATCTGGGCCAGAGTCAATCACAATAACATCTACAGGTGGAGCAGGAGGTGAGGTATTCTGCTGTGTTTGAGTCTGTGGTACTGATGACTGGACCTCTCTCGAGTCCTCACGGTCCTCCTGGATCTCAGCGCTGTAGTGCAGCTGGGAATAAAGCCGGAACTCCAGTTCACTGTCAGCGTCAGACAAACTGGAGTCTGCATCATCCCGGTACAGCTCGTCCTCATAGTCATCCTGCTCCTGATACCCTGAGAACATCTCAAGGAGAGCCCTAAACAGAGAACAGCCCAGCCATAAACATCATCATTCAGTGGCCATACAGATTACAGATTTTTTCAGTATATCACCCTGTCTATATCTGCACGGGCTCCACCACAAACAAACAAACAAAAAAATTATTATAATAAAATTAAATAATCATTTTTAACTTTTTTTTTTTTACATTTGTATATGCCAGCAAAACAGAAATGTATTAATAATAATGATAATAATAATAATAACAACAACAACAATAATTGCTCTCTGTTAGTTCATGTTAATTAATGCATT